GACTGTGGGGGAGGGGACATTAGAGTGTAAGCTCCTCTGTACAGAGACTGATGTGACTGTGGGGGAGGGGACATTAGAGTGTAAGCTCCTCTGTACAGAGACTGATGTGACTGTGGGGGAGGGGACATTAGAGTGTAAGCTCCTCTGTACAGAGACTGATGTGACTGTGGGGGAGGGGACATTAGAGTGTAAGCTCCTCTGTACAGAGACTGATGTGACTGTGGGGGAGGGGACATTAGAGTGTAAGCTCCTCTGTACAGAGACTGATGTGACTGTGGGGGAGGGGACATTAGAGTGTAAGCTCCTCTGTACAGAGACTGATGTGACTGTGGGGGAGGGGACATTAGAGTGTAAGCTCCTCTGTACAGAGACTGATGTGACTGTGGGGGAGGGGACATTAGAGTGTAAGCTCCTCTGTACAGAGACTGATGTGACTGTGGGGGAGGGGACATTAGAGTGTAAGCTCCTCTGTACAGAGACTGATGTGACTGTGGGGGAGGGGACATTAGAGTGTAAGCTCCTCTGTACAGAGACTGATGTGACCGGCTCAGTGTCCTCTGTACAGCGCTGTGGTATAGGTCAGAGCTATATAATGTATAATAATCGGGTGTGACCACCATTTGCAGCCTCATCTACATACAATATGGGGACTGCTGCCTCTTGAATGAACTGAAAGCTTTTCACCCGTTTCGTGTGGGTGAAGATGTGGTGAATGTTGGTTCCTTTTTCCCGAGAAGAGGAAGAATGATGATCGGCTCATCGAGAGATGTGGCAATAGATCCGATCTCAGACACGTCCCGCCGATAACTATAAAGATGAAAATGTGAGTGCGTAGCGAACACTCCGCCAGTTGTCACCTTTGCTGCTTCAGCAACCTCACAGTGCTAAAAACAGCCCCCGGCATGCCAAAGCGACCTCCCGACCAATGTCATTGTATGTCACTTTAGCATGCCTTATATTGTAGTGAGCGGCTGGAACTCCCGCGCTCAGGTTTCTCTAGCTGTCCCCGCTCGGGAGAGTCACCCTCTCTGTTTGCCCCGGTGACCACGGTCACAATGTGACGGGGAAACCCGAGACGTTTGTCACCAAAACTAGAGAGGAGGAGGGGAAATCTTCCAATGTCTCGGAGAGGAATTCCTCTTGGAGAGATTTCTTTTACATTTTGCTGTTGTGTCATCAAGACAGGAAGTGAAAGGAGCGAAACAAAGCAAAAACGGGTGCGGTGGTTTTTTTTAACCCTTCTTTCCCCGATCCCCTGAGCTGAACAAGGGAAATCTACGCCCCCCCATCCATACCACACAGCATGAGCGGGGGATGGGAGGAGGAATCCCTGCCGCCGGCTATTGTACTCAACAAATGGTTCTCTGGAAGCTGCTGAATACCTGGAGTGCGACTACATCAGATTGGATGCGGGGGGCTGTGTGGCCAAACATTTTTGGACCGGCTCCTTTGTCAAAAAGTTGATAGAAAATTTGGCTTTTGTTGAGCTTGGAAAGGAAAAGGGAGGGGATATTCTGCATTGCTGTATAATGTATTGCTGGGATTTGTAGTCCTCTATAGCTGGCGGTCTTATTCTGCATTGCTGTATAATGTATTGCTGGGAGTTGTAGTCCTCTATAGCTGGCAGTATTATTCTGCATTGCTGTGTAATGTATTGCTGGGATTTGTAGTCCTCTATAGCTGGCGGTCTTATTCTGCATTGCTGTATAATGTATTGCTGGGAGAAGTAGTCCTCTATAGCTGACGGTATTATTGTGCATTGCTGTATAATGTATTGCTGGGAGTTGTAGTCCTCTATAGCTGACGGTATTATTGTGCATTGCTGTGTAATGTATTGCTGGGATTTGTAGGCCTCTGCAGCTTGGAGTCAGTGGCACAACTACCAGGGTTGCATCGCTCGCAACTGGGATGGGGCCCTGCCGCTCTACTGCTGTCGTAAAACCATTGGTCTGTATTGTCACAGGATACTAACAAAAAAAGTATCGGTAATTGGTATCGGCGAGTACGAGGAAAAGTATCGGTAATGGGTATGGGCGAATACGAGGAAAAGTATCGGTAATGGGTATGGGCGAATACGAGGAAAAGTATCGGTAATTGGTATCGGCGAGTACGAGGAAAAGTATCGGTAATTGGGATCGGCGAGTACGGGGAAAAGTATCGGTAATGGGGATATCAGTGGCACAACTACCAGGGTTGCATCGCTCGCAACTGGGATGGGGCCCTGCCGCTCTACTGCTGTCGTAAAACCATTGGTCTGTATTGTCACAGGATACTAACAAAAAAAGTATCGGTAATTGGTATCGGCGAGTACGAGGAAAAGTATCGGTAATGGGTATGGGCGAATCCGAGGAAAAGTATCGGTAATGGGTATGGGCGAATACGAGGAAAAGTATCGGTAATTGGTATCGGCGAGTACGAGGAAAAGTATCGGTAATTGGTATCGGCGAGTACGAGGAAAAGTATCGGTAATGGGTATCGGCGAATACGAGGAAAAGTATCGGTAATGGGTATCGGTGAGTACGAGGAAAAGTATCGGTACTCCATCTGGAAAAAATGGTCTCGGCGCAATCCTAATTATTATTATTATACAGGATTTATGCAGCACCAACAGATTGTGCAGCACTTTACAATATAAGGTTAAGAAAATGGCAGTGAAAGGGTTTGGTGATCTTGCAGCGTGAGGAATGGTGGTCTCTCTGTAGATGAGTGCAGACTGTGAGATACGGATTGAAGTGATCGGGCAATCTCTGTAGATTGTTAGCTGAATATGTCACAATGTCGGAAACCGATTCTGGATCACCCGCCGAGATCAATATGATTCATGTGATA